TGTACCCTCCCTCCCTCCTTCCTTCCTTTGCCTTGTGTCCTTCCCTCTTTCTCCTTCCTTCTTTACTTCCTCTGCCCTGTGTCCTCCCTCCTTCCTCCCTTTCTCCTTCCTTCCTTCCTCTGTCCTGTGTCCTCCTTCCCTTCTTCCTTCCTTTGCCTTGTCTTTCCTTCCTCCCTCTTTCTCCTTCCTTCCTCTGCCCTGTATCCCTCTTCCTTCATCTCTTCCCCCTTCCTTTTCTGCCCTGTACCCTCCCTCCCTCCCTTCCTCGTCCTCCTCCTCAGAAGAACAGAGTTGGAAGGGACCTTCGAGGTCTTCTAGTGAAACTCAATTTCATTGAGGGCCACATCAGAGCTGTGGTTGACCTCGGGAGCGGGGGGGGGGGGGGGGGGCAGGTGTGGCCAACTGGATGAACCTGGCCAGCTTGATGCCGTTCCCCAAACTGCTGGCCTGTTTCCTCTTCGCACTGCGGAGACTGGGCCGATCTTTCCTCTACGCATTGAGTAGACCGGGATGGCCCCATGGGCCAGATCCGACCCCATCGCGGGCTGGATCCAGCCCTCGGACCTTGAGTTTGACACCCCTGTTCTAGTCCAACCCCCTTTAGCAAGAAACCATTCACTTCCTCCAAATACCACGTTTCCCCGAAAATATAAGCCCTGTCATATATATTTTTTTTGCCGCCAAAAAAGGCACCAGGTCTTATTTTCGGGGGGATGTCACCCCACTGACTAACCTCACTTGTGCATGTCGCCTCTGGCCTCCTTCCGGAAGTTTCCCTGCAGCCGGCAAGGTTTTCCTGAAGGCCTGTGCAGCTGATAGGATCGATCCAGAGCTTGTTATCAGCTACGGAGGCCTTCAGGAAAGCCTGGCCATCCTTGCCGGCTGCAGAAGAAATGGACCGGCAAGGCAGGTGTCGGGGTGTGCGAGGCCTGGCTACACCTGTCCAAAGGTAAGCAGTAGGGCAGCTCCACCACCCTCATCCCCACCCTAGCTTAATTTTTACCCGTCCACTCTGGAGTGGGCGGGATCTTAATTAGGGCTTATTTTGGGGGAGGTGGGGCTTATATTGGGCGCACGTGTAAAAATCAAGCTAGGGCTTACTTTCAGGGTAGGTGGTATTTTCGTGTGAACGGGGTAACAGAGGGACAGAGTTGGAAGGGACCTTGGAGGTCTTCTAGTCCAACCCCCTGCTCAGACCAGAGTCCGTCTCTGACCTTTCCAACCGGTGGTTTTTTTTTTTTTTTTTCATCCCCGCCACCTCCCCCCCCCCACCCCCACCCTCTCTCCCATCTCTTAACGCCCCTCTCCAGGAGCAGCTCCAAGGTCAAGATTTCAGCAAATTTCAGCCCCTGAAGGCCAAGCTGTTGGACGCAGTGGAAGACATGTTGGCCCGCGACATTGCCCAGCTGATGGTCTTGGTGCGCCAGGAAGAATCCCAGAGGCCGGCCCAGATGGTCAAAGGCGGGGCCTTCGAAGGGACTCTCCATGGCCCCTTCGGACATGGCTATGGAGAAGGTGCCGGAGAAGGCATTGATGATGCCACCTGGGTTGTGGCCCGTGACAAGCCCATGTACGACGAGATCTTCTACACCTTGTCCCCTGTCGATGGGAAGGTAACTGGGGCCAACGCCAAGAAGGAGATGGTGAGGTCCAAACTCCCCAACACCGTGCTGGGCAAGATCTGGAAACTCTCCGACATTGACAAGGACGGGATGTTGGATGACGAAGAGTTTGCCTTGGCCAACCATCTCATCAAGGTCAAATTGGAAGGCCACGAGCTTCCGAGTGAGCTACCGCCTCACCTCATCCCACCATCCAAGAGGAAAATGGCAGACTGACTGACCTCCGGAATGCCGTTGGAGATGGGAAAGTTCCTCTCTTGGTTGTTTGAGCCTCTGGAGATGTGTGAGGTCCACCTCTTGATGGGACAACCCTACCGGGGAAAACAAAACGGGAGGTCGACCTCAGCTCTGCTTTGTTGTCGCATTATGCAACTCTCTTCTTGATATCATATCTTGTTGCCTGGTCCCTGTCTTGTCAAAGGAAAGTCACGGCAGAACTTCGAGAAGATCCTCCATTGGCCTTCAACCAAGGGTTTGAATTGGATTGGATTGGATTCCTCTTCAACCAGTTGAATTGGATTGGATTCCTCTTCAACCTGTTGAAGGGAGCCTTGTAGACCAAGTCAACCCCTTGGATGAAATATCAGGACTTCAAATTTACACTTCGGTGTCTTGGGAAGACGTCTTTGACGTTCAACCTTCCTGGCCTTTGATATGAAGACTCGGGCTGCCGATACATCTACCCCATGACTTGGCCTTCTGCCCATTGGGAACCCGTGGTCCATCAGAAACATCGTCTTCTCTCATTTATCTTTAAGGATGATGGGATGTCTTCTCCATGGATGTTCCAGAAGACCACTTTTGTAAGTTAGAACTCGGTGGTTCATTCTTGATCGTGAATGGGGGAATCTCTAGATTTAAGGAACGACAAAAGTTGGGTGTGATGCACCCCCCAGAAGTTCACTATCCGAAAGGTTTCTAGAAGGTTGAACCTCATTTAGGCGATCAATGTCACCTGGGTATCTCCAGATTAGGAAATGACCCAAGCTTTTCCAACCCGTAAAACAAGTTTGATCTTCCCCTCTAGATAAGCTGGACGTCAAATCGTTGTCTTTCATCCACACACACCATTAACAGCCGCATTTCAGCTCCGTTGCAATCCCCGCTCGTCGTCGGCCAATTTCCTACAACAAATCGCAACCCTTTCTACACCGGTGTTGCCTCCGAAGAACCTTCTGTCCCACGAGGAGACCATCTCCCCCTAGGGATGGTCTTCAGGTGGGCCGAACTACATCTTACACCTTCTCCAGACACAGGAGCCACCTACTGGAGGTTGAAAATGTGAACCCAGAGCTGAGCCAAACTCATTTCCGGCCTCTCATTTCACATCTCGATTTGTGAATTTTGTTTGGCCTTGTGTGCAGACCTACAACTTCTTGTCGCTTCGGACAGAACAAACTTCTACTGTCTTTCAAAAGAGTGCGAGAAACAGAAAACCCGGACGCCTATAACTTATTTTATTTTAATATTATACATAGAAACATATATATCCCATGTGTGTGTAATTATATATATATATATATATATATATATATATATATATATATATATAT